TAGTTATATTTTTCATGAATAATTATTGGCTATGGTGTTGGCCAGTTTGATTGCTCATAACATTTTAATGACATAGAATTATAGCGGACAAAATCGAAACACACAAAAAAAACCGGTAAATTATGGGGGAAGACCTCAAAACTTGGCGAATTTTATAATAGTATTGATTTTTTTTTTTGTTTCTGTTTGTTTTATTTATTTTTCTGTTTTGGGTTTTCTTTTCAACTTGAAATTCTTGGGTTAGATAATCGATGCGTTCGATGTTGTTTTTAGTTTTACTTTTCTTTTCCTTAATTGTATTGTGACCACATTGTTTTGTGGTTGTGGGTAAAACAAAAAAAAAAACTAGGAAGATTAATTTTGTTTTAATGTATTCAGCAAATATTCAGATACATTTTTCCTCGAAGAAGAATTTATATTCAGCTAGAAAGGGCCCTATTCAGCCAGTTGTTTAAGTGAGAAAATGCAATTCAGCATAGTTTGAAATTTTAGGTACTTGAAAACTTTTGGCTATAACTTGGGAATTTGTTCCGCTACTTTTAAATATTTTATATTTATTTTATAAATTAGATCTCTCTCTCTTTCCAAATTATGCAATAACGTAAAGATCCGATGAACACTTTCGAAGTTATGGCCTCAGAAATTCTGTTACAGAAAAAAGTCCATGGTTTAGCAAATTTGGGTACTTGTCAACTTTTGCCAATATCACAGTTATTTGATCAGAAGCAGTTAAATATTTTACCACATTTTGAAGATAAATTCTTCTGCTTTCCAAATAAATTTATTTCATTCCGATCCAATAAAAATTTTCGAACTTATGGGCTCTGGAAACTGATGACGCAAAATATTCCAATATTTGAAAATTTAAGGTACATACAAACTTTTGCCTATAACTCGAAAATTTGTTCCGCCACTTTTAAATATTTTATATCTATTTTATTATTAGGAAATATTTCTTTGCAAATTATGTAATTTCTTAAAGATCCGATGTATACTTCAAAAGTTATGGCCTCAGAAATTCATGTACGGAATAAATTTATGGCTTAGCAAATTTGGGTACTTCTCAACTTTTGGCAATATCTCGGTTATTTTATCAGCTCTGTTTAATATTATACCTCATTTTGAAGATATCCTACACTGCTTTCCAAATAAATTATTTTCATTCAGATCCAATAAGAATTTCCGAACTTATGGGCTCTGGAAACTGATGACACAAAATATTCAAATATTTGCAAATTTGAGGTACCTATAAACTTTTGCCTATAACTTGGGAATTTGTTCCGACACTTTTAAATATTTCATATCTATTTTGTAACTAGGATATATTTCTTTGCAAATTATGTAATTTCATAAAGATCCGACGAATACTTTCGAAGTTATGGCCTCAGAAACTCAGTTACGGAAAAAATCCATGGTTTAGCAAATTTGGGTACTTGTCAACTTTTGCCAATATCTCGGTTATTTGATCAGATGCAGTTAAATATTATACCATGTTTTCAAGATATCCTATTCTGCTTTCCAAATAAATATATTTCATTAAGATCCAATAAAAATTTCCGAACTTATGGGCTCTGGAAACTGATGACACAAAATATTCCAATGTTTGAAAATTTGAGGTACATACACACTTTTGGTTATAACTTTGGAATTTGGTCAGCTACATTAAACTTTTGTATACCATTTTGAAGAAATCTTATTCTACTTTGAAAAATATATACATTTTATTAAAATCCAATAAGTTTTTCTGAATTTATGGGCTCCGGAAACAGATGACGCAAAATATTCCCATTTTTGAAAATTTTAGGTTCTTGTACATTTTTGGGTATAACTTTGTAAACTCTTCCGCTACTTTTACATATTTCATATTTATCTAATAAATTAGATCTATCTCTTTCAAAATCATATCATTTTGTAAAGATCCGACGAATATTTCAAAAGTTATTTTTGGCTTAAGGAATTTTTCCGTGCTTTTACATATTTTATATTTATTTAATACGCTACATATACCTCTTTCAAAATCATATAAATTGGTAAAAATAGCAAATTGAGGTACTGTACAATTATTGGCCATATATCGGCTATTTGTTCAGATACAGTCAAATAATATATCTTAATTTGAAGATATTTTATTCTACTTTTAAAATAAATTTATTTCAATAAGATCTAATAAATATTTCAGAACCTATGGGCTCCGAAAACTGATAACGCAAAATATTCCCATGTTTGAAATTTTTAAGTACTTGTAAATTTTTGGCGATAACTCAAGAAATTGTTCCGCTACCTTTGCATATTTCATATTTATTTAACAAATTAGATCGGTATCTTTCAATACCATGCTATATTAACAAGATGCGACAAATATTTCAAAAATTATGGCTTCAGAAATCTGGTGACAGAAAAATTTCACAAGGTATGGTAAAATGAGGTACTGTACAATTTTCGGCAAAATCTCAGCTATTTGTACAGATACAGTGGAATATTATAACTCAATTTGAAGATATTTTATTCTATTTGTAATATAAATCATGTTTCGATGTTTCATTAATATCCAATAAATATTTCGGAACCTATGGGCTCCGAAAACAGAAGACGCAAAATATTCCCATGTTATTTCAAATTTTGAAAATTTTAAGTACTTGTAAATTTTTGGCGATAACTCAAGAAATTGTTCCCCTAGCTTTGCATATTTCATATTTATTTAATAAATTAGATCTTTCACTTTCAAAATTATGCAATTTTGTAAAGATCCGACGAATTTTTTCAGAAATTATAGCTTCAGGAATCCGGTGGCAGAAAAAATTCCAAGGTATGGCAAATTGAGGTACTGTACGCTTTTTGGCCATATATCAGCTATTTGTGCAGATACAGTCAAATAATATAACTCATTTTGTAGATATCTTATTCTGCTTTCAAAACAAATCTGTTTCAATAATATCCTATAAATTATTTCGAAATTATGGGTCCTGAAAAGTTATGACGCAAAATATTTTAAATTGTGAAAATTTAAGGTACATATACATTTTTGGCTATAACTTGGAAATTTTTTCCACTGCTTTTACATATTTTATATTTATTTAATAAGTTTGATCTAACTCTTTCAAAATCATGCTATTTTGTAAAGATATTCGGCATATTTGAGAAATTATGGCTTCAGGAATCAGATGACAGAAAAAAAACCAACGTAGAAAATTTTGAAATACAATTCAACTTTTGTCCATATCTCAGTTCTTTATTTCGTTACAGTTTAATATTCTATCATATTTTGAAGATACCTTTTTCTATTTTTGAAATAAATTTATTTCAATAACATCCACTAATTTGTTTCCAACTTATGGGTTCGGAAAAGTGATAACGCAAAATATGTCCACGTTTTAAAGATTTTAGGTACTTGTAAACTTTTGGTTACAACATGATCATTTGTTTCGCTACTTTTACATATTTCATATTAATTTAATAAATTAGATCTTCCACTTTCTAAATCATGTGATTTTGTAAAGATCTGCCGAATATTTTGGAAATTATGGCTTCAGGAATTTGGTGACTGAACAAAAAAAATACCAAGTTTGCCATATGAAGATCACACTCCTTCTCTCGATTTCCTCAATCTCCCTTTCCGCCTCTCCTCACACTACGTTTGGATCATGTAATGATTTCACAATGAGAAAATTAATAAACGTAAATCTAATTTACATTGTGCAACAAAGTTTTGTTTTTCCGCCACATTTATTTCTTACGAAATCAATCAATTTCCCTGGAGAAGGGCTGTGTTATCGAGATTCAGTATTGAATTTATTAAAAACAAATAATGGCAACGAAATTGGAAATGATATTAACATTACTTGTCATTACTGAACAATGTTGGCGATAAGGGAATTAATTAGGGATTTCACGGGGAAATTGTGGGATTTTTTAAAATACCCAATAATTTACAAAAAAAAAAAAACATTTAATTAAATTTTATTTAAAATAATATTATTTGAAAGAAATTTCCTTATTCAAACTACTAGGAAATGTTACAAAAATCCCTAATTATTTACAAAAAATTTTCATTTATTAAATTTTTTTAAGGAATAACAATATTTTCCTCAGTTTAAATCTTCTCAAAATATTGGAAAAAAAATTCCGGGGAAATTCTGGGATTTTTGAAAATCTCCAGTAATTTATAAAAAAAATATTTAAATTAAAAAAAATTTTTTTTTTCAATAAATTTCCCTCAATTATAACTCCCTTCCACTATAAAAATTGATTTTCCCCGCAGAAATTCTGGGATTTTCAAAAATCCCCTCAGCCATCAAATAATCCCTATTTTCCAATGCAATTCCAATTACAATATTTTCCCTTAATAATGGTGACAAATTAATTACTAAAACAAATTACTGGACTTTTGCGCTTTGAATTTATTTATTCCGCGCCGCGCCGATGTGACAATGACGAATAATCTATTAGAATTGATTTATTTAAAACTGCAGATTTTTTTATCGCCATCATCATGATATTATTTTTATTAAAATTATTTTTTTTTTTAATTTATTTGCAGTACTACATTGTGGTGTTGGCGTTGTAATCGAAACAAAAAACTACTATTAACAAGTTCACAAAAAAGTTTGCTGTTAAAACGCCCATGGTATTATAGCCTGGCTGCCAATCCGCCCAGCTGCTGCTGATGATGATGTGAGGCCTATTTTGTTTTAATCAGGCATTTTAATGTCACAAACACGTCCCGTCGTTGCTGCCATTAAAAAATTTTTAAAATCAACAAATAAAAAATAATAATTGGCTCCTCCATCTCAACACTCAACCCGAATCGTTACTGGAAGCCATTAAAAAAAATAGTGGAATTCATAGGAATTCAGATCTCCCTCATCCATTACAAAAGACTTTTTCTTTCTTGCCATTTGCGCTTGCCAGGTATTTTATTATACCCTTTGTCATCGTCTTTCTGGTCATCAACGGACATCGGCCATCCTCTTATCCATCGCCTCGATCTGCAACATCATCATCTCGGCCACCACCATGGAATTGACATCGTTGAATCAAACAAAAGATGTTGAATTTCAAGACGTCTGCTATACCGTCAAACAAAGGAAAAACTTTGGTAAGTTCATATGCAAAATAATATTTTTTCCTTGTATAAATACACTAGGGTGTAATGAAGATAAATATTAACTTAAATTTCCGTGTAGCTCCAATATAGTTCCACCTCCCAAATTATTTTCAGAAGTTTGAGCACATTTGTCAAACAAATTGGCTGTCATTTGATATTTTGGGTTCTCTTGGGGTAGAAAATATTCCTACTAAAAATTAACAATATCGATCGAACTTTTGGTATAGCTCCCATATAAAGGTTCCTTCCCAATTTCGAAGTTTTAGGGAGTTTGAGAACGTTTTTCAAGCAAATTGGCTGTCATTTGATATTTTGGGTTCTCTTGGGGTAGAGAATCTTCCTACCAAAAATTATCAATATCGGTCAGTTTTTAGGTTAGCCCACCCTTAAACGATACCTCCGATTTTCGGTATTTTGGGGTTTTTGAGTACATTTTTTTTAACCAAATTGGCTGTAATTTGGTATGTTGGGTTCTTCTTAGGTGTTAAATCTTCCTACCAAAATTTATCAATATTGATCCACGTTTTATTATAGCTCCCACGCAAAGGTTCCTCCCAAATTTCGATATTTTGTGGAGTTTAAGCAAGTTTTTCAATCAAATTGGCTGTAATTTGGTATTTTGAGTTCGCATGGGGTAGCAAATCTTCCTACCAAAAATTATGAATATCGGTCTATTTTTAGTTGTAGCCCCCCTTAAACGTAACCTCCGATTTTTGGTATTTTGGGCATTTTGGGTATATTTTTCAACCGATGTGGCTGTAATTTGGTATGTTGGGTTCTTCTTAGGTGTTAAACCTTCCTACCAAAAATTATCAATATTAGTCCAAATTTTATTAAAGTTCCCATACAAAGGTTCCTCCCAAATTTCGATATTTTGAGGAGTTTAAGCAAGTTTTCCAACCAAATTGGCTGTAATTTGATATTTTGAGTTCGCATGGGATATCAAATCTTCCTACCAAAAATTATGAATATCGGTCCAAGATCACGTATAGGTCCCCATATAGTTGAACCCTCAATTTTCGATCTTTTGAGGGTTTTGGGTAAATTTTTTAACTGAATTCCCTATAATTTGATATTTTAGGTTCGCATTAGGTGTTCAATCTTCCCATCGAAAATGACCAAAATCGGTCCTTTTTTTAAGGTAGTCCCCATATGAGGGTTGTTCCAAAATTTCGATATTTTGAGGATTTTGGGTACATTTTTCAACCAAAATGGCTGTAATTTGATATGTTAGGTTCCTATTAGGTGTTCAACCTTCCCATCAAAAATTATCAAAATCGATCCCCTTTTTATGGTAGTCCCCATATAAGCATACCTCCGATTTTCGATATTTTGAGGAATTTGATCACGTTTTTCAACCAAATTGTTTGCAATTTGATATTTTAAGTTCGCATGGGGTAGCAAATCTTTCTACCAAAATATATGAATATCGGTCTATTTTTAGTTGTAGCTCCCCTTAAACGTAACCTCCGATTTTTGTTATTTTGGGTATATTTTTCAATCGATGTGACTGTAATTTGGTATTTTGCGTTCTCTTTAGATATCAAATCTTCCTACCAAAAATTATCAAAATCGGACCTCATTTTAAGGTAGTCCCCATATGAGGGTTACTCCAAAATTTCGATATTTTGAGGGTTTTGGGTATATTTTTCAACCGAATTGGCTGTAATTTGTTATTGTGTGTTCTCATTAGATATCAAATCTTCCTACCAAAAATGATCAAAATCAGTCCTCTTATTAAGGTAGTCCTCATATAGCTGAACCCTCAATTGTCGATATTTTGAGGGTTTTGGGTAAATTTTTCAACCGAATTGCCTGTAATTTGTTATTGTGAGTTCTCATTAGGTGTCAGACATTCCTACCAAAATTTATCAAAATCGGTCCCCTTTTTAAGGTAGTCCCCTTATGAGGGTTACTCCAAAATTTCGATATTTTGAGGGTTTTGGGTACATTTTTCCCACCGAATTGCCTGTAATTTGGTATTTTGGGTTTTCATGGGGTAACAAATCTTCATACCAAAAATTATCAATTTTGGTCCATTTTTAAGGGTAGCTCCCATATAAAGTTACCTCAAAATTTCGATATTTTGGGGAGATTGGGACGATTTTGCAACCGATTTGTTTGTAATTTGGTATTTTGGATTATCATTGGGTAGCAAATCTTCCTACCAAAAATGATCGATTTTGGTCCAATTTGAAGGGTAGTTCCCATATAAAGGTTCCTGCCAAATTTCGATATTTTGGGGAGATTGGGCCGATTTTGCAACCGATTTGTTTGTAATTTGGTATTTTGGATTCTCTTTGGGTAGCAAATCTTCCTACCAAAAATTATCAATTTTGGTCAAATTTTAAGGGTAGTTCCCATATAAAGGTACCTGCCAAATTTCGATATTTTGGGGAGATTGTGCCGATTTTGCAACCGAATTGTATGTAATTTGGTATTTTGGATTCTCATTGGGTAGCAAATTTTCCTACCAAAAATTATCAATTTTGGTCAAATTTTAAGGGTAGCTCCCATATAAATTTACCTTCCAAATTTCGATATTTTGGGGATATTGGGCCGGTTTTTTCAACCGAGTTGTTTGTAATTTGATATTTTGGATTCTCTTTGGGTGGCAAGTTTTTCTACCAAAAATTAAAAATATTGACCCATATTTCGGAGTAGGCCCCATATAAATTTACCTCCCAAATTTCGATATTTTGGGGAGCTTGGCCACGTTTTCCAACCGAATTGTTTGTAATTTTGATATTTTGGGCTTTCAATGGATCTTCGTGCCGAAAATTTTCAATAGCTGAGGGATGTATGCGTTCCGCCAATGGCAGTATTTATTCCCTATCGCTATTGATACTTCTATGGCTACAACCAATGAGATTAGTTTATCATCATCAGCGTCGTCTGACCACCGGCTGTCTTTCGCTACTTTTTCGTCGTCTGTGGCCACATTTTTTTTTTTTGTATCTTGTGCCACATTTGCTATTAGAAGTTTTCTAGATGATTCCAACCTGGTGGTAGGCTGGCACACAGGCAATAAGACCACCTGCTTTAGATGTCGTTTCCGAACATCATGGCTAAAAATGCAAGTTAGAGCTTGTGGATTTGCACAGACACACACTTCTTGGCTGGCAGTTATTATATTTTTCGAATGTTGTGGAAAAAACAAGTTTCAATTTTTTTTTTTCAATTTCTGAATGAAGAAACGCATTGCAACAACAACAAACAACAACAAGAAGAAAAAAGTTCAAGAAAAAGAATGTTGAAATCTGTAGTTTTTATTTTTTGTTTTTATTTTTGTTAAGTGGTTAATATTATGTTGGTCTATTGGTCAATCGGTGGTTGGTTGGGTAGTTAGCCTGGCTTGGCTAATTTTGACATTTGAGGTAAACAACAATTTTTTTTTTGGCTAAAATTGGCAAATTTTTATGTGGCATTATGATAAAAAATAATAGCTATTATAATTTTTATAATGGGAATATTTGAATAAAAAATTTAAAAAAAAATTAAAAAATAGTTCAAAAAAAATTTTAAAAAAATGTTTCAAAGTAATTAAAAAAAAAAATAAAAAAAAAATTTTTTTAAAAAAATTTTTTTCAAATAAATTAAAAAATTTGTTCAAAAAAATTTAAAAAAAAAATCAAAAAATTAAAAAAAATATTTTCCATATTTAAAAAAAATTCGAAATAATTAAAATTTTTTTTTATTATGGGAATATTTGAATAAAAAATGTAAAAAAAAATATTAAAAAATAGTTTAAAAAAATTAAAAAAATGTTTCAAAGTAATTTTAAAAAAAAAATATTTTTAAAATTTTTTTTTTCAAATAACTTAAAAAAAAAATTGTTAAAAAAAAAAATTCAAAAAAAATCAAAAAATTAAAAAAAATATTTTCCATATTTAAAAAAAAATTCGAAATAATTAAAAAAAATCGTATTTTTTATTTTCCTATTCAATTTTTTGCAATATTTTAACAAAACAAAATTTTTTTTGTTCAAAAAAAATTTTTTTAACTTCCATATTTTTTTTAATTACAAAACAAACTCAAAATTATTTTTCTTTTTTGCAATATTTTAATTATTTGGGAAACATTTTAATTTTAATTACCTCTAGTTTATATGCTCGACTTGTCTGCCCTCCATAATCTCCAAACTAAATCTCAACCTGGGTTGCAACCTAGACCCTCCTCTGTTCCATAAAAAAAACAACAACAAAACATTTAACAGTCATGCTTTGCAATATCATTTACATTGGCGGAAGATTAATTAAACTTTAATAGTCCGACAGTATTTCATAATTACGTTTATGTGAATTGAGCCGAGATTAACCCCATAACTGACACTTCAATTAATTTGTGGAAGCCACAACATCGTGACAACACTCAGCAGCATCAAAAGGGAGGGTATTGTCATGAATTCATTCATGTAATCGCATGATCACTTCACTCCCTCAGTCAAGTCGGTCGTTTTGGGGAGCATTCATTCATTTAATGATAGCCATAATTTAGCATGCTTCAGTTCCCTCCTCCTCCTCCTCCTCCTCCTCCTCGCTACTCAAAATTGACTTCAATTGAATTGCTGGTGGTATGAAACGGCGAACCACTAACAGGCTGGGTATTTAAAAAAATAGAGAGGAACAAATAAAAACAGATTTAAGTTCGGACGAATGGATTGAAAACCGTGCCCGAAATCTTCAAAAAATTAAATTTTGGAGATGCCGAAAGATGGAACAATATTTATAATTTTTTTTTACAAAATAAGAAAAATTATTTTTCTTTTTTGCAATATTTTAATTATTTGGGAAACATTTTAATTTTAATTACCTCTAGTTTATATGCTCGACTTGTCTGCCCTCCATAATCTCCAAACTAAATCTCAACCTGGGTTGCAACCTAGACCCTCCTCTGTTCCATAAAAAAAACAACAACAAAACATTTAACAGTCATGCTTTGCAATATCATTTACATTGGCGGAAGATTAATTAAACTTTAATAGTCCGACA